GGTCTCAGCCATTTTGGGGCGCAGTGTGGTTACTCCATGCCTTTGAAGCTTAAATTTTGTAAAAAAAAAAAATTATTTACCTGCAGTAATTATAACTGACTTTGCACGGTACACATTTTTTGTGGTATGGATTAAAACAACACTTCCAGGTTCAATCTTAGTAACCTTTTCCCCATCAGAAAGCTTACCACCAAATTGAACAAACTGCCTCTACAAATAAAGGAATGTAACGGCCGGGTTTTTGCACATCAGTTCGTATTATTTATGGCTTAAACATGAAACCAACCACACAGCACGAGCGTCGTGACAGAACTAAATTTATTACAAAACATGCACAAAATCACATGTACAGCCCGTTCCCAAATAAGGTCATGACGACTATACAAGGAAACACACAGGCTACCCAAAATAAATGAATCAGTAATACACAAAATAAATATGAAATTAATTAAATTAAATTTCAATTGTCACAGGAAGAGTATAGTAAAAATTTCAATTATTTTAATTTATAAGTCGCATCAGTTAAGCTAGTGAAAAAAGTATGAGTGTAGAAGCCKGGAAGCTTTACCAATAGTGCACATTAAAATTCTCAGGCTTGGTTAATATTTTATGGTAGCTATTATTGTTGTGGTTACTGCAGTTTTGTTGTTGTTGTTGTTGTTGTTGTTGTTGTTGTTGTTGTTGTTGTTGTGTTGTTGTTGGAGGTGGTGGTGTTGTAATTGAGGTTTACCTGCATTGCACTTAATGCCTGATTTGCTAATATAAAACCACCTTGTGGTTCAAAGGTTCCTTCATAACCTTGGAGTTTAAAAGTTGGAAACTTTCTTTTAATGTCTGCTGATGATAATATTTCACATGGAACTCCAAGATTTTGCACATTTGTGGCCAGAGATTTCAGTTGATTCAAAGGTGCCACCTCAGTTGAAAACAGACCAACTCTCCTAAAAAAAACATAAGTACATTTAATAACATACAGTGCACGCCAAGTAATGACTAATAATATCCTATTAATTCATCTGTCGCTAGTTTTCAACCATTCCTTGAGGTTACACAGTCAGTAAGAATAGACAGACAGTATRGTGAATGAAAACAATACACAATTGAACAATAAAGAACAACAGACAGTTAAAATTATGCAAAATAGTTTGTTGGAATTAATAACATCAATGTGGCTACCCAGCATCAACCAGCAATTTATCTTAAGATTCACTTTTAATTAATTAAAATTAAAATTAAAATTAATTACTTAAAAAATAGGAACCTATTAAAACAAAAACAAAACAAGCAAAAAAAGAGAAATGAAACACAAGCAGCCTAAATACATATGCAGATAAAGTTAAAAAGATAATTACTTGATCAATTCCTTGCCAGCTATTTTTTCAACATCTGACCATATTTCAAAAGCTTCAGGCATCAAATTAGCAAACACATCAGATGGATATCCATGACGAACAAGTCGAGTAGTTCCATGTGAGCTACCCCTTGAATGGGGAAGATGAAACTATAAAGCAAATCACCAAGTAATAATTATTTCTGATTTTTGTTTATGACTTATAATGTTCAAACCTCTGGGACAAGGGTATTTATGATTTATAACTAAATGTAAAAAAATGTTATCCTGAAGAAACAGAACATTTGTAGTTTAGTGAAAAGGAAAAATTTATTTAGAAAGAAATTTATGTTCAGCTAAATACTTTCTTTTTGTCTTAAAAATACAATGTTTTATTTCTCTATGGCAATGTTTTGCAATTGTTAGGTTTATGTCAAATCTTTAATTGTGGTTTTCCAGGTGAATGAGAAATTGGAAATCTTTTAAGGGCAGTCCATTAAGAGGAACATTAAAAATATTTTCAATCATATTGAGTTACAAAGTAGKAAAACACCGGCCATTCTCAGTAATTTGACACATTTGTGGGCATTAAATGAATGGAGTCAGGCTTTTATGGTGTTTTTTTTTTWAAGTTATAGCAATTTCTCTCTTAAATGGGTACGTAAAGATATTAAAAAATGTACCATGATTTGTACCTGTCAGGCAAAACAAAGGGACTCTTATCTATCAATATGTGGGGATAGGATGCCGAATGTATCTTTTAGGGGTCAAAATCAGTGATCTCGTGCCTTTTGAGGTGTTTTGGGGTTTATTGGATAACCAAAATTTAAAATGGTACTTTATTGTACAATTTTATTTCTCCATTATCATCTGTGAATTAATTTGCTTTGAAAATTATCAAAAGCTATAGCTAATGCTTTCAAAAGTTTGTATCTCTCAGAGGTTGAAATCAGTAACTGGTATTCCTGCCTGGAAAATCTAGGGTTCTCGGGACAGTCATTTACAAAAGACTGGCATCCTCCACCGATAAATAGGAGTCCCCCCCCCGAAATGCCAGCGGCTTTAATACTTGTATGACAGCTGTGCTATTATTATTTGCAGTTTTTGATGGTATAACAATCAAATATGCCATAATCCAAACTATTTCAAAGTCCTTTGTTGTTGTTGAACTAAAGTCAATATCCTCAGTAAATAGGAAGTCGCTTTTTCTGTTCACTGCCTAATTGTTCAAAGGGTTTTCATCAGCCCCCCGCGTTTCAAAACGCTTCGCCGCTTTACTTCTGAAATTTTTTTTTTTTTAAATACCATTAAGGTAAATTGATTAAATGTCCATSATGGCAATAAACGTAAGCTGAAAGTGCAAAAAGGTTYAGGTAAACACTTAAGTATCAATCCATGAAGGTACATGRAGTTTTAAAAAGCTTTTGAAGGATAATTTGATCCTGTTGATCTAGTGATGTCGCCTGTCTGAATTGTTTATAAGAGATCATATAACCAAAGGCTAACATTACCTGCTCTAGAAGTAAAGTCTTCTTACCACGGGAAGCTGCGTATCGACCTGTAGAACTACCTTCAATTCCTGCACCAACCACACAAACATCATAAATATCAGCCATCTTGAAAGCACAGGCAACCCAGTATTAAAGTAAGTTTTATTAAAASTCACCTCACGCACTTTGGGCCATAAGGGCATCGACCGTCTTGAAATCCAAGGTTTACCACCGTAAGTASTAGTAAATTGATTTTTTTTTCACGGTACGCTGCATATTTTTCTTCACAAATGCATCCATTCCCATTACTATCGCACGGTTATAAAATGCAGCGACTTTATTTCTTTTTTTTTGTATTTATTATTTTTTTCCAGAGTGCAGTTTAGCGAACCGTAGCGAACGCGGTGCAAATCTCGACTCAAGCACTTGTCTTTTTTTTCTTTATTTTTTTCTTTCTTTCTTTCTTTTCAACTGAAGTGCAGTAGTTACTACAATTATTCTCGAGCCATTGTTTTGATTTTACACAGAATATCATACTTTCATAGCGTCGAACTTTGGATCGAGGGTTCGATTCTCGACTCGATCGCTTCTAAACATTTCTTTTTTTGTTTCCATCTTTCTTTTTTACTGAAATATACTTATTTTTAGTCATGTTTATTTTTTCTGTGGATATTTGTTTCATATTATTTTACACGCAAGTTGGCATTGAATTGATGATCGCTACTTGTTCTTTTTTAGAGTACAAACACTAAAACTGTGCAACATAAATACCACTAAATACTGCTAAATTATGCTAATTCTATTGTTTTCTATTGTTTAATCAACACCTATTTTGTAGTAATTAGTGGAAAGTGTTGCACACATTTAATGTTTGTACTCTATTAGGATTTCATTAGCACTCATTCTGCAATTTTCTCTCAACCTCACACGAATGATCATTTTCTTGCTAAAGAAATCCGCACACATTTCTGTCCAGTGCGATTGCATGCAACTGCATGATACAACCTTTTGAAAACTTATACCCAGAGCAAGGGAAAGAGTATGGCGTGCGCGTACGTATGTCTAACGTCAAGAATATCACGTGAGTATGGAAGAATATCTTAAAATCAACTGATACATCGGTATCTTGTGTCACATGTCGCGTCAATATAATCAGCATATGACGTTAAAATGTCGATGGACTAAAACATAAAAAAAATATTCAACAAGCGGGCTAAAAAGAGTCTGGGACTCTGTATAACACGCGCTCTACTACTTGGATATCAGCCCATGGGGGGTTACCCAGTGAAAAGACCTTTATTACAAAACTTAGCCAAGGAACCTAGTTTGAAAATCACAGAAATAGAACTTTATGATCAATCTCAATCTAGTCACTAATCTCTGAAAGAATAGTGTTTGATATTTCTACAATTTCAAAAAAAATCTTCTGCTTCAAATACTCTCCTTTTTTCATGAAAATGTTCAATTTTCAATCG